AAAATATTTGAAATATATAACTGCAAAGACTCTGGCACAAGCCAGTCAAGGTGGCCCTGCTCGTGATTCCGCCAGCATTGCAGGCGCGTTTGGTGGGCACACGAGACAGGGCCTTTTCTGTGGTGGCCCCACGACTGGAACACCCTCACCAAAGATCTTAGACAGGCCCCTACATTGGCAGTCTTTAGAAAGAACTTGAAGACCTGGCTGTTCCGATGTGGCTTTCCAGAATAGGAAAACCCCAATACCAAGTCCCAGAAGCACTTTATTAGAACTAAGATGGCTGCACACTGCACTTACCCTATAATCCTTACATATCACCTGTCACATCAGCACTTTTAATTCTGTACCCATTACTCTGGCCTGGCCCAGTTTTATTGTGTCTTGGTGTATTGTCTATTGCTTGTTGTTTAATATTGCTTTAACTGTTTTTAATTTGCTTTAGGTTGTGTATTGTTATGTTGTGTTTTGAGGCCTTGGCCTTTGTAAGCCACATCGAGTCCTTCGGGAGATGCTATTATTATTATTATTATTATTATTATTATTATTATTATTAACTTTATTTGTACCCCGCAGTTGGCTGAACAATAGGGTTATATTATCAGTTGTCCTCTGGATGTCCATAGATGTCATCCACCAATCCAAGATATTCTCATTCCTATGCATACCCGACAACCTTCCCCTTCCCTCAGTCATCTCATCATCCATCCCTTCTTCCAACCCAAAGTCCAATGAGCCTTTCTCTCCATTTGAGCACAAGTCCTCAGCCAGATCTGCACATGGAAGACTGTCTGCCCTTGGGAGATCAAATTGCACTGGAGTTCTGATAAGAAGGGCAAGTCCTCTAAAGAGGTGATCCATTTTATTGTTCAAGGTCTTAAGTTGAAGCGACAAAAGGTTGAACGATTCTCCCAAGAGATTGCACAAATGCGCTAGGTCGTTGTTTACACGAGACTCTGTTTCAGCCATTCCTATATATATCACAAATTTATTTATTTATTTATTTGCTCTATTTGTATACCGCATTTATCAGCCTGGAACGGCGACTCAATGCGGTTTACAGTAAAAATAAACAGTGAACAATATATAAGACGCACATCCACAAACAATACACATAATCATCAACGCCTACTTAGAATCAGATCCCGTTCTCATAGTCCTTAATTCAATCCTTGTTCAATGCCGTCATTATTGGGTGGTTGTTACTGCATGGCTAACCGAATGCCTGCTCATAGAGCCACGTCTTAACCCTCCTTCGAAACGCCAGCAACGAAGGGGCCTGCCTGATGTCCGCTGGTAACGCATTCCATAGCCGAGGGGCCACTACCGAGAAGGCCCTGTCTCTCGTGCCCGCCAACCGCACTTGTGACGCTGGCGGGATCGAGAGCAGGGCCTCCCCGGACGATCTTAACGCCCTTGCAGGTTCATAGGTGGAAATGCGTTCGGAGAGGTAAGTGGCACACTACTGACACCCCTCCACACAACCAACCCTCACTCACAAACCAACTTACGTCACAGTCAATCACTCTTCCAGTCACTCCACAGTATCCCACACTGCCAGCGGGGTACAAATAAAGTTAATAATAATAATAATAAACCCTTTTTCCTAGTTCCAACAGACCCCACTACCTCCGAGGATGCTTGTCATAGATGCAGGCGAAATGTCAGAAGAGAATGCCTCTAGACCATGGCCATATAGCCTGAAAAAACCTACAACAACCCAGACTTGCTGTTTCTTCTTTAGAAGCCACACTATCAGCCCCGTCTGGAACATGTACAGAAATCTGAAACCCATCAACCTGCAGAAAGTCAGGCTCAGAAGGCCCAGCAGGCCCATCATAAGGCCCAGACAGTTCAGACTCAGACTGAGCCACAACATGCTCTTGATCCCGCTTTCATCACAAGCACGTCTGGCGGGGACGAGAGACAGGGCCTTCTCTGCGGTGGCCCCTTGACTATGGAATGGCCTGAAAAAAGTCAAGACGTGTCTTTTTGTGCAAGCGTTTGCAAATGCAGGGTAACTGACATAGGAAGATGAAACGACTAGACAATGGGCTGGACAATGCTTAAACAAGGAGACACTAATGATTTTTCTTTTATTGATTTGTTGTGGTTTTATATATTCATGTTTTTAATTGCATTTATGATATTGCATGTATCAAATTGTTGCCTGTAAGCCGCCTTGAGTCGCCTGCAGGCTGAGAAAGGCAGTATACAAATACAGTAAATAATAATAATAATAATAATAATATAAAATAATAATAATAATAATGTGAAAATGGACTTATGTTTTTCAGTATCTAAACTGGATAAACAATTTAAATTAAAATGTATTTCTAATGAATATCTTACTAAAATAAATCTCACCCATATTATTAAAAAGAAATCCTATCCCAAATGTGACACAGCAGGATTCGAACTCGCAAACTCAAACGAATGAGGCGGGAACAGGCAAAGCCAACTCGCTTCTTGATTGGCTACGAGGCGGGAGGAACCGCCTCGCCCTTATTGGCTCAGCTGCGTTGTGATTGACAGCGGCTCTGTCCAATAAGAGGGAAGAGCCGGCTGGCCGCGCGCAGTTTCGGACGGCGGCGGTTATTCCAGCCGGCGGAGCTTTCCTGAGGGGCGTCCGTCTCTCTGCCGGTCTCTCCGAAGAAATGGCCGGCGGAGGAGGCTTCTTCGCTGGGCCCGCGAGCACCAGAGCGGACTCGCCGCCGCTCTTCAGCCTGAGGCGAAAGTCGAAACTTCAGGGAACGGAGGAGGCGGTGAGGGGCGGGGCTTGGGCCGAGCGTCACGGAGTGGGCKGGGCTAGTTCAGCACAGGGGCGGGGCTTAGAGGGGTTGTGGGCGGGRCGAAGTCAAGACAAGGCAGATGAGAGCACAGATAGGCGGGGCTTAGAGCAGCAGTGGGCGGGGCTAGAGGGAATCAGGGCGGGAGGGAGTCGACTGAAGGCAAGTAAGAGAACAGAAGGGGCGGGGCTTAAAGTGGTTGTGGGCGGAGCGAAGTTAAGGCAAGGCAAGTAAGAGAACAGAAGGGGCGGGGCTTAGAGTAGCAGTGGGCGGGGCTAGAGGTATCAGGGCGGGGCGAAGTCAAGACTGAAGGCAAGTGAGAGCGCAGAGGGGCGGGGCTTAGAGTGGTTGTGGGCGGAGCGAAGTYAGGACTAGTAAGAGCACAGAAGGGGCGGGGCTTAGAGCAGCAGTAGGCGTGGCTAGAGGGTATCGGGGCGTGGCGGAGTCAAGACTTAAGGCAAGTGAGAGAACAAGGGGCGGGGCTTAAACAGTAGTGGGTGTGGCTATATGGTATCAGGGCGGGGCGGAGTCAAGACTGAAGGCAAGTAAGAGAACAAAAGGGGCGGGGCCTAGAGCAGCAGTGGGCGTGGCGGAGTCAAGACAAGGCAAGTRAGAGAACAGAAGGGGCGGGGTTTAAAGCGGCGGTGGGCGTGGCTAGAGATCATCAGGGCGGGGCGGAGTCAAGACTGAAGGAAAGTAAGAGAACAAAAGGGGCGGGGTTTGGAGCAGCCGTGGGCGTGGCTAGAGAGCACCGGGGCGGAGTCAAGCCAAGCCAAATAGACCTGCGAAGGAGGCGTGGCTTGGAGTGGTTGTGGGCGTGGCTTAAACCTTAGGGGCGGTGATTCCTCCATCGTGGGCGGGGCTAAAGGGCCAATACTTATTTGAAAAGTTATGAATGTTGGGTTATTATTTTATATACATTTATGTTTGTGTGCTGTATATATAAAATAATGTGTTTTATGTATTTTAATTTATTTAATGAGTTTAGTGGTTTTGACTTTATTTTTTAATATTCCTAAATTAAACTTTTATCTTAATGTTTGTGTGTTTTCGTTTTTAAATTGCACATTATGCCATATGCAATCCAGATTGTTTGTTTTGAACCGGATTATATGGCAGTGTAGACTCATATAATCCAGTTCAAAGCAGATAATGTGGATTATATGTCAGCGTAGATCCAGCCTGATACTCTTTCAAAAGAGAAAAAGCGGGATTATAAATAATAATAATAATAATAATAATAATAATATAGATAGATAGATACACTTAGAGAGGAGGTCCAATTATAAACACAAAATTAATTCGTGATCTATGCACACCGTATACACACCTATTTTTAAATTAATTGAAAAAATAGGAGAAATAATAAGGTGTTTTTCCCCTTACAAAATAGGAAACTTGGAGGTTATTTTAATTTATTATTATTATTATTATTTAATAATTAGTTATGAAAAATAATTATAATTAATTCCTTGTTATTATTACAATTAATAGTTATTATTATCAAGTCCCTCTCTGAATGTCACACATCATAAGTTGCTAGTTATGAAAATGAATTATAATTAATTTCTTGTTATAATAATAATAGTTATTATTAATGGGCAAATCCATCTCTGAATGTCACATATCATAAAGTGCTAATTTTGAAAATTAATTATAATTAATTCCTTGTTATTAATAATAAGTTGTCATTATTATTATTATTATTAATTGCCAAGCCCCTCTATGAATGCCACACATCATAAGTTGCTAATTTTGAAAATTAATTATAATTAATTCCTTGTTATTATTAATAATAAGTTGTCATTATTATTATTATTATTATTGTTGCCAAGCCCCTCTCTGAATGGCACACGTCATAAGGTGCTAATTATGAAAATGAATT